GAGAGAGAGAGGGAAGGGGGGAGAGAGAGAGAGAGAGAGAGAGAGAGAGAGAAAGGACAGCCAAGGGTAATCACAGCAGCCCACAACATTAGCTCTTTGTTATTTGAAAGGATACAATTCAGGTGCAAAAATCGTACAGTATCAAAATCCTGTATCTGAAGTATCAGACACATGTAAATATATTCCAACAGTAATCACACTCTTGAATCTTCGAGCCTCTTTGTTTCACTACTTTTTATTTGTTTTTGTATTTTGTGAAAGCCATCCCACGATGGAGACCCCGAATTCAAGTTCCAGGGGCCAAGGGAGGCCAAGTCGTCCAGTTCAGAAAGGTCACAGTTGGGTACCTTAGGAGTCATGTCCAACAGGCACACGGTGAACAGTCACATCCCAGACGCCATGGCATTCTGAAGCAAGCAGGCTATGGGCATTATGTGGTACCGGGTCCAAGACTCCAAGTCAAGCCAAACGAAGCAGAGGCTGGGATGAGTCCAGACTCAGTCCAAGTCAATATAAGGACTGGCCACCCACATTTCAGGGAGATTGCTCATTCGTGAGAAGTGTGGAAGTGCTGCTGAAGCGCTTGTGCGCTACCTGCGAGTGGCACGCGCGAGAGCCCTGCTGGGCAGCGCTGCGGCTGCGAGGGAAGGCGGCCGTAGCCGCATAGCTAGTAATAGGAGGCACAGCTGAGTAGCAGCGGATGCATTCAGTGTCAAGATCTTCAAGCAGAGAGAGTGCGAGAGAGAGAGAGAGAGAGAGAGAGAGAGAGAGAGAGAGAGAGAGAGACAGAGAGAGCATGCATGAAGAAGACAGAGAGAGAGAGGGAGAGCGTAAGGCAGAGAGAGAGAGGGAGAGATTGAGGCAGAGAGGGAGGGAGAAAAGAGAGTCGCCTACCTTAGATGAGGATGCTGGAATTGGGTTGCTGAACTCTGCGCTGATGAGCGCTTGGGGACTGAAACTCCGAGACTGTTTAATATGATAATTCGTTGGAATCTCTAAGCTGCGCTATTCTGGACTTTGCATCTCTGGTCTCCAGTGCGGACTTCGTGTGATCTCTCAATGTTTGTGTGTGTGTGTGTGCTAAAGGTGACGAGCAGTGAGGCTCCATGCATTTGCATTGATCGACGCCGAGTTTAGAAACAACTTTCTGCGGAAAAAGCGAAACAACCTCTTTTTTTTTTGTTTAGCTTTCTAAACTCTCTTGTGTTTCGGAAAAAGCGAAACAACTTTCAAGTTTGCCTTTTCCATAAGGTAAGGGGGGGGAAGGGGGGTGGAGAGATGGAGTAGTTGGGGAGAAGAGGGGTTATTAAGAAAGGATGGCATGCTAATTTTCGTTCAAGCAACTTGAGTTTATACCACCACCACCTCTGTCACTCTTGGGAAAAATGGGAAAAATGGCTGTTTTCGGAGTCTTCCCACTTTTTCCGTACTTTTCCGGGGTTGGACGAAGCTCGTCAGCTGGGCCTTGAGGGCCCCTTCGAGGCATTTATAATCCCTTTTCTTTTTGCTATCGCCTCCCTGAGCTCGTTCCTTCTTTCTCTCATGATTGCGGGCTTTTGGTGTGGTTATTAATACGTTTAGGCTTTCTCACCTCACGGACCCAATGCATATACGTTTCGCGACACTCGTCGATGGCACCCTGCTCGATCTTGCTCCTAAGATAGGTTCTCTTGGAGAACGGAACATTGATGTAAATCCGCAGAAAGCAATGATCTCCCCCCTCCCCAGCAAGGGTTTCCACATCCCATCGTCCCTGCACATCAAAGTCAAGCAGCCGTCAAAAACTCAACCAGCCGTGGATCACTTAAAAAACTTCTGAGAAGAAAGAACAGATACTTGCATGAAGGATCAAAGAGAGTTACCCCGAGACGAAAGACAGCTACTAGTTCCAAGAAGAAAAAGTTTGGTGGAGCAGAGACCGAAAAAGTTTCGGAGAAGAGCCAAGAAGGAAGAAAGAAACTTTCAGAGAAACTTCGGAGAACAGACCGAGAAGGAAGAAGGAAAGATCTGAGAAGAAAGAATCGCCACATGATTACATCTTTTACGAGGCAGAAGAGGGATTAGAGATTTCTGAGCCATCATGCGATAACAGTTGATTGAACGACTGAAACGCAGGAGAAAGACGATGAGAGAGTAGCGGACGCTTGTTTTTTTTTCTCTTGCCGAGAGAAAAGAGGGTGGCCTCCACTCCCACTGTGCAGCGCAGGATTTGAACGCTTGATCTGCAGCAGTCGCATGCGTATCCCATACTTACCACCAGTACCTCCACGTTTTCAGGCGGTTAACGCGGTGGCTGAATCGGCCCGCCGTGCGCGTCCATATGCATTTGCGTTAGAGCCCCCCCAGAGGGCGCCTAAGACCCCCTGGGGTACTGGTGGTTTAAGGTGGGCAACTCCAGCGCACCAAATCCGTATCTGTGTGATGCGCGTGTGTGTGCATCGCACGGACGAAAAAGAGGGACCGACATTGAAAGGAAAAAGGGGCAAGGGGCGATCACACCCCTGCCCCTCCCCCGCCGGAAAGAATGGTCCACACAACGAGCAAAACAATTTTCGGGCTTTCGACGGCCTTTAGCTCAGTTGGTACAACACCCATAAACTGTTGAAATGCAGACCTGGGTTCAAACCAGATGACGGAACCAGATGAACCAAATTCCTGGGTTCAAACCAGATGACAGTAGCGCCAGTCCATTTCAAGATGATGTCCGAAGGCTGTCGCCCTTTTTTCCCCTCTCAAAAAAGGGGGGGAAAAAAACAGTTTCCATGCTGCACGCGGGCACAAAAACATTTTGCCTCCTGTATAGCACGTTTCGCCTCATCTAGTGCGAGCACAGTTGTGCAGATTTGAACTGGGTTCTTTGCAGCCTTTTTTTTTCCATCATCATATAGAGTTTTTTTTTTTTTTTTTTTTCCCTCAACCATCATCATCTAGACTTCAGAACTTGTCCGCTAAGTTTTTGGTACATCGCATAGAGAAATCTTCGAGGGCGTGTAGAGCTCAGACACATTTGCCCAAAAAAAAAAAAAAAAAAAAAAAAAAAAAAAAAAGAAAAGTAGTGTTTGATAACTTTGATTAACTTTGATACCACAGAGGATGGCTGGGGGAAGAGAGAGAGAAAGAAGAGGAAAGAAAATGGGTGGGAAGAAGGAAAGAGGGGGGTGTGGAGGGGGCCAAATTCTCTCACCTCGATGTGGAAATAGTCTCCGTATGGGATGTCTGTCATGACCTGTGTGCTCTCGATCACCAAATACCTGAGAGAGTCAGACGGTCACGAAAGGGAAAATCTAGTGAGCCAAAAGAAAAGACTCGTGAACGAAAAAAACAAAACAAAAAAAGCTTGAATTGGTAGGTTACTAGCTTGTGATCGATCATACATGTGGCTCATCACGTGCGCACAAGTTGCGCACGTGCGCCGCATAGTGCACACATGCGCACGCACGTGATGCGTCGTAACTACGAATTAAATAATTAAAAAAAAAAAATCGAAAGGGAAGGCTGTGGTAACCAAATGTGTGCCTCCCTTTTGAAAATTGTAACTGCACAAAAAAATAAATAAATTGGGGCCACATTGTACCCCTCATTGGATTTAGTCTCTTTCGCAAACGGTCCCCTGCAAAGAATTAGCGGGGATCCCATTAGTTTGGAAGAACGTTCATTGAACAGCTGGAAGAACACGAGCAGGCCAGCAATATATCCTGGATTCGGATTCAGGTCTGTGATCCAAGAGTTATGGGTTACGAAAGTACTACAAACACTACAGTAGCTGTCTCATTTTTATGTTTTTCCTTTTCTTACGTGCAGTGGCCCTAAGGGCCTCGCTCCACTCATCACCACATGCGCAACAGACAAAACATATGGCGGTGTATGGTTCCAGTTTCTAGGAGAAGATTCAGTCTACGGTAGTTTTGCACATATGGTGAGTAGTGGAGTGAAGCCCTGAAAATCACATGCCGAGTTAGCAAGTCAGTAACCCATAACTGCTGAAACACGGACCTGAATTCGAAGCTACACCATACATACCTGGCCTGCTCCCTTACTACTACAAGCCCAGCGACTATTCTTCTCCTGCTGACTTTTGGCAGGGACCTTTTTGAAGTACGGGCAGGGGTTTTCTGAATAACCTGAAAGGGCTCTTTGCTCTTCTCTCTCTCTCTCTCTCTCTCTCTCTCTCTCCCTCTCTCTCCAGCGTTTATACACACATCTGCAATCAGCGCACTGCACAGCTCACCTCCCGTATGTGCCATAAGTATGGTTGTGGTTAATCAAAGTTCATTCTTTCTTCTTTCGACAAAGCTGCTGGCATCATGGCCTAGCGGCCCACAAATTTTGGGCCTTCTAGTTTTTTTTTTTTTTTTTTTTCCCTTAATAATTTGGACCATTTCTCGATTTATACTTGCCATCCTTTCTTGAGGGCCATGCTCATCTATCTTCTCTGTATTGTTCCAATTCTAACAGATACCCCGAAGGACGGCCCTTCTTCTTTCCGTCCATTTCTTGACTTGCGCGTGTCATCGTTGTACAGGGGCTATGCTTTGAATAGTTGTGTCTGTACTCTGGACACACGTTCTCTGCTACCTGCGCACAAAGGATGGGTTCAACCATGAAGGGGATAGGCTCAACCCATAACCGTTAAGTGTACTTAAGCTTCGGTGCATGGATGAGAATTGCTGCGCTTAAGGTTCGACAGACTCAACTTCCAACTTCGACTGGACTCTGATAGATGTAGTCATGGGTTTAGGTAGTGTGAGGTGTATTTGAGAGGAGAATTAGCGAATTAGTTCAGTGTTACCCGCCCGTACCCGCCCGATAAAACGCGGAGGCCCCCGGGCCGACTTCCGTACGTTCGGGCATTCGGGGTCTCCCAATCTGAAGGGGTTCGGCCAGCGCCAAAAATGATTTCGGGGCCTAAATAATATTAGTTTTTGAACTTTTTGTTGAATTTTCTTTTTACGAGTCTTTTATGATGTGAGGTATATGCCTATATATTTTGAAGGCATTTTGTTAAGCCAAAAAAAAAGAAAAATCGCCAAAGATGGCAGTGTCAAACCGTGCTCGCCCACTCACTATTTTGTTTTTTTTCTCTTTTCACTTTTTGTTTTTGCTTTATTTCGGGGCCTAAACAATTTTATTATTTTTTGAGTTTTTTTTAATGAGTTTTGTATCATGTGAGGTACACATCTTTAAATTTTCAAGGCATTTGACTGAGCCAAAAAAAAACATGAAAAATCGCCAAAGATGGCAGTGCGTAAAACGTGCCCGCCCACGCACATGAAAACTTGCCAAAAGTTTCCTACCTTACTTTCTTCTTCCCCTGAAGCCAACGTACGGTCATTATAGCTGTACTTAGACTGAAAGATACCCCAAATTCAGCTATAAATTCCCTATAATGACCATACGTTGTACTGGGGGAAAGACTGTAGGGCAGTGCTCATGGAGCGGACGGTTGTAATTCCATTGTACCCTAAAAGTCTAAGGGCAAACAGGTGAGGCTAGCATCTGTTCCCGAATAGGACACCCGGTCATTATGGCTGCATACAATAAATCGCAGTATCCCAGTTAGTGTTTGCTGTTTCCTTGTTTTGGGCCTTGAGGGACCTGATCCCGTGACCTGTAGTGTGTTTGTGGTGTTTGACTGTTTTTGAGCTTTATTGCGCTTGAACCGTGAACCTGTCGCTAGTGGTCTCTACTTAGTCTTAGGCCTTTCAGCCTTGTTGTTTTGTCCTTTTCTCAGTTTTCTGCCCTTCTGGAAACTGGTAGGCCCGTAGCCCCGTAGGTCTTCTTTTGTGTGTCCTAGCCTTGGGTCCCCTTAGTCTAGGTTTCCATCTAGATGCGTGTACTAGGTAGATCTTGACTGTTTGGCCGTCGATGTTTGCTGTTTGGACAGTCAGATAGGTCTGTAAGTGGCTGCTGTGTTGTAGGTCTAGGGAAGTCGTGTAGAAGTAGGCAGAGGCCGACGAGTTTGGGGTTCTTTTCATTGCTTTTTTTTTTCACAGTCTTGGTGGAGCCCGCGTTGCTTCCCTGCTACGTTATTGCAAACATGTATGCAGGGCATCTTCTCCTCAGAGGACTGCCAAGCGCGAACCACAGGCAAAAATGGAGAGACAGACAGATGTGACAAACTTTGTCAAGCTTCTAACCAACTCATCAGGAGGCTGAACTTTACTCGAATTCCAGTCAGGACGTGATGAGTGACAACCGCTCTAAATGGAATAACAGCCACGTTCAGCCGAAAAAAAAACGAGGGGCTGTGAGTCCAGTCCTGCGACAAAGTGTGTCATCGAACCTCCTCAAGTTCAGCAGAAGGCTGATAAGCCCTCATCCATCTGCAGAGTCCGTTAACCAACGGTACATTAAACGATAATTCGTCTTGACCCACACTAGACGCAGGTGGGCGCCAACCACTCCTCCACAACATCTCTCCTGTGAGGAAAACCAAAGCAGCCTATATCACCTACCCGCCGTAGACGCAGGACCCCACAAACTACACAGGTTCTGACAAGCCTCCAGACTTCAAAAGCCTTCATAGTAGGTCATACCAATTCATATACCTCACCACCAAGCCCATGCACCTGGCTGCAGGGCACAGCCATGATCTGTTGATAAACAGACCTGTGTTTGAGTCCTGCTGGAATCAAATGCGTAAAATAACTCAGAATTACCTGGTGGGCTGGTCAGTCTGATGATGATACCACAAGTCTGTTTGTTGCCCTTTTAAACGACAACACTACCTCCGAATCTCTCTTTGCCGAGGCGGAGAAGAACTGTGTGCGCCAAGCTTTGTCGAAGTGCCAGCGCGGCCTTTCCCTTTTGTTTTGGATGGTGCCACCAGGCATTTTGCTCCGGCGGCGCCCGGCCTCCGAAGAATGCGGTGTAGGTTATATTCATGGCTTAGCCTTCGCCTCTGAAAGGTATAAAGGTTATATTCACGAATTTGGAGCATCTTTCAGTCTAAATACAGCTGTAATGACCGTACAGCGTACGTTGTATTTGGGGGAAGAAGGTAAGAGTGTATTCTACCATCATTCGGCTTCCACCATGCCGGGTTCAGACGTGATTCTTTTTCTTTTTTTTTTTCTCTTTTTTAACAAACACACAGCCGGTGACAGCCCCTTCTATTCTCGGGGGCACCATGTGTCAGTTTTTTTTCATTTTGATTTTTGAACCATGTGCGGTTCATAGCTACTGATGGTGGAACAAAAATATTAAATAATTATGTTAACCCTCCTCTGAACGAAAGCCACAGGTAGGCAAAGCTTCAGCCTGGACGTTTGAGGACCAACTAACGATATTTCACTCTCGAACATGCAGTTCTAGTTTATCTCCTCTTGCATTCAATGCATTTTTTTGCTTAACATTCTGTTTTCTTTGCTTTTTATCCCTACACAAACACACTTCATCCCTTTGATTGCAGCAGACACCAGTCCTGTTACTTGTCCCCGGCAAGCATCAAGGACCGATTTGCAACGCTGAAAGAAGAGAGCAGAAGAGAAAAAAGGGGCA